ACTTTTAGAGGATATCCAAGACTCTTTGTGAAGCAGTGGTGTCTCATTGGGTGAAAAACTAAGTAACATTTTCCCCCTTATCTGAAGGTATCAAATGACTTGGAAACAAAAATGTTTTAATAATAAAAAAATAACTTATCCCAATCTGTCTTTTAAGAAAGAATCAACGTTTATCTGTGATGTATGCTAAAGAATTGGAGAAGCATGTATGTCAATACTGATCAATTGCCTTTGTGCTAGGCTAATGCAAACAATGATCAACAATCCTGTACACATACCTTGTATGCTAGCAGGGCACAGATAAACCATAGAATACTCTTTGGTTAAAACCCTGCAATATGATAGCAAATCATATTCCTCCCTCCTCCACCAGCCTATTTTCTTACACAGCGATCTTCTTTACTGTCAAATATAAAGAACGGTAGAGCATAAAATGTATTTCCCTTCTACGAAAGCTTGTCTTCACAGTTCACAGCACTACTGCATTTTCTGATACTGAACTGCCATTTGTAAATGGCTCTGATGCTGGCAGATGTCTCCTTGGATGTTTCTTTTTAATGCAGCGCAGTGTTTCTCAGCAATACTTTCAAGTATGTCCAGTGCTGTTTTGCTAAAATTGGGATTGTACAATTTTTCTAAGGACATTTTCACCAGAAATGGTACAACTATACAAAGAGATGACCACCTTCTCTTTTTTTAAAAAAGCAGATCTAGAAATATGGCCTGTGGTTTTAAGCACCCATGGCTAGTCTCAAGATGACGTGTGTGAACTCACATTTCCACATGTCCAAACACTTTTTGAGATGGTGATGTCTTTTTACAGGAGCATTAATTTCTTTGCTTATCAGTGTATAGCTTTTGTGCTTTGATTCCAACTACTTTTAGATCAAGTTCTTCTTTGTCCTGACATGAATTAAGAAACAAAAAGCCTTCTTTGTCCTTTATGTCTCCTCTCTTAGAGTGACACGATCACGGTGTATGCCAGAGTAACAGAGATTATAATTTTTGTCTAGCCAGTCTGTCAACCATGGCTTCAGAAACAAAATGGCTGTTCTAATATTCTGCTTTCAATGTTCAGCAATCAAGCTATTAGGTGGAAATGTCTTTTGTTGACATATACTTTTGTATGATTTGAAGACACAGTCTCCAAAAATACCAACTTGGGAAGATTGAGGTGACCTTTAAAACCAAACAAGTCTTTACAACATTTGGAAATACTTGTTCTTTTGTGAATTGCACTATCCAAACACCACAAAAATGTGTGCCCTGTGATTTTCTCATCAGATGTAATAATAAACTATACAGCAAAAAACATTATGACTGCCAGTTTTCACTAACTGTGCAGGAAAGTTCCAGTAACCAGCACTAGATGGTAAACATAAGCTTTCATCATGGTTCCTTCAGCACTGGCCGTTTATAGGCTCCATTATATTGAATGAAATCTGTGTTGGGCTCATTTGCTGCAGCTGAGGCATTCTTGCTTCCAAAGTCTTCTCTGTTGGTGATCCTACTGACTGATTCCTCTTCCGCATCATCTGTCCAATGCCCATCATGGGAAAGCGACCTCGGCTCTTCACACAGTTAGGACTCCCCAGAGGATTAGATGTGTTGTTTAATTGAGTTGGAGACACAGCTTCCTCTCTAAAAGAACTGCTCTTTTCATCGTATGTAAAGGAGAGCTGAGTGGGGTGAACCGGGCTTTTAGTAGGACTGGGAGAAGTGCCTCCAGGTTGGAAGAGCGGAGACAATGTCCTTTCGCTGGAGCTTCTCCGACCAAAATTTACTGGTGAGCTTAGCATTCGATACTGATGTGTGGGAGATACCTGGTCTATTTGGTCCTCCCTGTCCCCCGTTTCAAAAGAATGTACAATGTTCAGAATTAAAGGAGAATCCAAGTTCTGGCTGCCAGGACTTGAAGGCTCCAGTTGTTGAGGTGAATCTTGCCGTCTTGTGAGCCTCGGGGTCCTTGGAACAGGTTGCTGGATTTCAAGGTATTCCAATGAATAGGAGGTGACACAACCTGTCTTGGCTGATGCTGATTCATGGAAAGGGCTCAAACCACCAGGAGCATCTAAAAAAATAATGTAAAAGGGGGTGGGGAGACTGTGTCAGTTTATTTATTTGTTTGGCTCTTTGTAGACAAGTACTAAATCAGAATATAGCTAATTAACCAAATGAGAGCTTGCCTGAATAAGGACTGAGGATGAGTACTGTACCTACTTCCTAAAACATCCAAATAACCCCAGAATTATTGAACATGGGAAAAAAGGAGTGGTAGTTCAAAATGTGCATACCTGTTGATTCCCTTATAGCAAAGGTAGGAATGAATGAATTACTGTTATCGGACTGTAACTCCCATCGGTCCTAGTCAGCATAGCAAAAAGATGGCTAGTCAGGATTGCAAGGAATGCTGGCAGCTGTAGTTCAAAACAGCTGGAGGGTTGTATATTAATCCAACCTATCCTGTCAGATTTTATCCTGTTTTATCTTTCTCCAGTTTGTACTGGCGTGCTTTAACATCTGCTTGCTGGATCTGACAGCCAACACATTCATTCTTACCACTATTCCTCTGTCAAGGCTATCGACCCCATTGTCCTTATCTCTCATTTTCTTCCTTTCTATTTTGCTTGTGTTTTCATGCTTTATTCCCATTTAAACTGTCTTCCTTTCTGACTTCCTCTACCTAATTTTATCTCCTGAACACACATGCATGTGTGTGCCCCTCTCCGGGTACACATTCCTAAATGACAGAATTTTCCTCACATTAATTGATGGCTTTTGTTGGTTCTTTTGATTCAATTCCCACATGCTCCAAATGCAACACAAAGGCAAGCTCTTGCCACATTCTTTTCCAAGTTGTTATAACCAAAACCACAATGCAGGTCCAAAAGGAAAGATAATTATATGCTAACTAGTTTGAATACAGGAACAGAGGAAGGAAATCTCTTTGAAAAGCCACGGAAGATCTGATTATGCTGGAAGTCAGAAAACAGAAGCATTTCAGATCACGCAATTACCAGAAAACATAATTTGTCTTTCTGGAAGATTATCTCGATATCTGTTTACTATAAGGCAGTTTAACATACTGGAAACTCCAGTGTGATTTTGGTGCTGAGAAAATGTTCAACATCCTTGTCAGATCACAAACCTAGAAAGGCACAACAGTGAAATGGATGTAAGTATAAAATTGCTCTAGCTTTCTGCACAGCTTGGGGCTTTTCCTAGTACACTGAAGCTCTGTTACACTGGTTTAATTGCTATCTTATGCATCATTACCTGGAAGTAATTCCCAACAAACAGGTGTCTGATCAACCCCTGAGAGAATCAACAGAGGCCTATTAGCAATCAATGAAAGGCTACCATGTAACACCACGAAGGCACAGCTTCTCAGTGGTGGCATGTGCCCACCCCCTGAACTCAGTATGAGCCTCTTTTCAGCTTTAAATGCCTGCTGAAAATATAATCATTTTTCCAGGTTTTTTGGGGGTACTGATAATTCTTTTGTTCTTTGTGTATTATTGATTGAGAGTTTTCACATATTTATTATTTTTTCAATTGCTTTAAAACTTTGTTTTCCTATTGCATTAGATTTATGGATTAAAACAAATTTCTTCAGATATCTTAATTTCATCAACTGACTTACAAATATAACCAATACATATATATATATATCACACATACAGAGAGGAATACATCATATATCTGCAATATGGCTTGACATGAAATCTTCTCTGGTCTGTAGTGTCCGAAAGAATCATAGCTAAAGAAGATGCTTCCGCATACCTTTCTCAGACGGACTACCCTGGCTGGGTCTGCGATCAGTCCGCAGGGCTTTTGTATTTTGCATCTGTGTCATCAGGCATGAAGAAGGCTCTTTGTAAGAAGCGGTATTTTTCTCCAATTTCTTCAGAAGTGGATGAAGAGGCTCTTCTTTTGTTTCTTGTTCCTTGACCTTTTTGTCCTTCAAAATTTAGAACAAATAAATTTGACTTATTGGGAATTATTTCAAGAAGTTTTAAAATAGGACTTGGGGAAGCAATGAGGTTAATGGTTCAAAATGAACAAAACACCCAATATGGTATACCAGTTCTGGTAGTCTACCGGAATCGCAACAGTGATAAGCCCATAAAATATAATTATTCTCTAGAAGGAGTTATGTATATTAGATTTCAACACCCTTATATATGTTATCCTTTTAAAGACTAAGCCTGAAAACATCAGGCAGATATTCAACTGGAGACCTTGCTCACCCTTTCAGCAACACAGATGTTACAACAGAAAGAGGCACCTATTCAAGGGTGATCAGGTTTTTTATTAAGAGGCAAGATAACATCTTTTTGGAAAATGATCATTAAGAGCTTTTTCTAAAGGGACAGCCAGCCAGCCACTTTTAAGATATTGGGAAATCTTTCCCTTTAAAAGGAAAGAAGATCTTGATTGTGCTAAACAGAGTTGCTTGAGGCTTGATGCAGTTTCCTGTCCCAAGACCACCTGATCCATGTATGTGGATGTAAAGTTTGCACTACAAACATCTGTGTAGCCTTAAGCAACCTTATGTAGCCCTATCCTGCCCACTCCAATTTGGCTGTCTAGCCAAGCCCAAAATAGGAATTGTAGCAGGAATGAAAGTGCATAGCTCTAACCCTACATTCTAATTGTGCTATCATCCTACTTCCTTTCTGCATCAGGACAGTAACTCTCCCATTTGCCTTCACATCCCATTGTTTTTCTATGTTCCTGCTTTTCGGGCCATTGCCTATTTTGTACCATTCCCCTTTAGCCCTCTTAACTCAACAGGATCATTTGTTCATCTGCTCTCAATCAAGCACAAGCAAAGGAGGGTCTATAGTTCAGTGGAAAACAGAGCTGGCTATGGAATTCTATGAGATGTGGTCCAAACAGTAACATTCCCAATAACTTCTACATATTTTACATACTGAACATTTCATGTTCAGTTCCTGGCTTCTCCAGGCATGCTTTGGGGGAGGGTGGTAAGAGGTGAATTACTGCCCAATGGTAAATTATAACAGCTAGCCACCATCTTATATCTACTAAAATGTCATTTGCTTAATGGCAGTCCTGATGGTGGTTTCCAGAGATGCAAGTAAGTAGCAATAGTGGATGGAAGTCTCATGCCCTGCCCCAAGATTCCAAGGATGCTCCAGCAAGGCTTAGAATCAAACAAAACAAGCCTTGGTATTTAAGTTGCTGGATACTAGAGTGGTACCATCTGCTCTATCCTGTGATTTAGCAAGCAAACTTCTAGAATGAACATGTTTTGCTAGGAAAAAAAGGAGTATCAATGAATAGGCTGGAAAGCTAGCACTTAATAGCAATCATATTATCGGCTTATTATATGAACCTGCCATGCTTAGCTCTGACTACACAAGGAAGGGTGCTAATTGCAATGCTCAGCAAGGCTTAGAAGTAAATAGAGTTTGCCAGCCTAGAGGCTATAAGAGCAGTAAATGAGAGGATTATTAACAGTGGGTTGTATTCAGATTTAGGCACATATAACAAGGTTGGCTAAAGCAGACTTCCACACTACTAGACCTCAATCTGCCACTGCAGCTACTCAAAATGTCACATAGAAGGTGTAAGTACACAGGTACACGAAAGGCTGGGATCTCCAGCTAAACTCTAATAGAGAAAGAAGAGTGGGTTAAAACTGTTTCCACTTAGCACACCCTTCTGCTCACAGAAGGCAAATCCTGAAACCGGCCCTGGATTCTTTTTAATATTTTATGGATCAGTTTCAGTATACAGCATACTTTATAGTCTTGTCCAACCCATCTTCATAACAAGACAGTGACACTGGTCACTCTTACTCCTGTCTGGCAGGTGGTAGGCAGCTCACATTGTAATTCTACAATATCTACTGGACAGAACCTTCCTCTGCATTTTTTTTTCAGATTATTAAAACAGTGCTGAAAAAAAATCCAGCAAAGTGCCGTGAGACCTGAGGAGACTCGTCTGCCTGCATCTCCATGGTAACAACATGATGCATCTTCATAGAGCTCTTACATAGCTCTTTGCAAGAGGATGTCTGCAAAGCTTTCTGCAAGCTGGTCAAGCATGGTCTATAATGGCTGAAGAACATGGAAATATCTCTCTCTTTTTTTGCTTGTCAATATCTAGTAGCCAAATCTAGGGGGCCCTAAACCCTGGTAGAAGCCCCTGCCAGCTTGCCGCTGCAGTAGAACTGGAGACAACATGGTATCAGAATATTTAAAACCACACTTTGCAGAACCAGTCTTTTTATTAATGAAGTGCTTTGCGTTGGTGTGCCCAGCTTTTCTATAATATAGAAAGTGCATGTGAAGGAAAGCACCATATCTAATGGCCTAGATGAATTTGAAAAGAAGACAACAACCCAACAACACCTCTTATTAGCTTTGTCAGAAATGTTTGAAATCCATCATTTCTGCAAGTTCTGCAGATTATGTTTCAGCAGTGGCTGTCAGATTTAAAGGTTTATGTTAGTGGAGTTATGGGAGCAGGAGGGGGTGAGTATGAACTGCTCTTGTTCAAGAACAGAACGGGAAGCAGGTGGCTGCATCTCAAGGCTGTTGCCAGACAGAAGGATGGTTTCCTGGTTTCTAAGCAACACGGAATTGCAGGTTGATTTCTAAAGCAGATCTATCTCTCCTTATACTAGCAGCTAAACAATTTAGTACCACCATAGGTCTCGGAGCAGTTCATAATTTTGAATATCCTTTATCCCGTTACTTTAGGGAAAGAGTGAAGGGTGAACTCCCCAATGTTAGATATGCCTACTCTTTGCTCTTTGGAATAATAAATAATGATTCCCTGTAACATTTTTCCAGGGAACAAAAACAGAAAATTGTTGGCTGCCAATAGAAGTCATATGCTGCCAGTATTTTTCAACCACTGATACCCAAACTCTTTTTAATTTAATCTGATAAGGCAGAAAAAAATTGGGAAGAGGGGAGTAGCCATGCTAGTCTGTTGCATTTAGATGTCTAAAGTTATTCTAATGCAGGGAAGTTGTCAGATGTAAATAATACAATATATGTTTTGTTCTCCAGTACTACAGCATCTGTTCCCGACAAATGCTGTAAATAGAAAATTATACCCCCAAATATAAACATTAGCAATAGTGTAATAAACTGATTGTTTAAAGAAGCAAAGGTATTAACCAGTTTGTACTTGTACTTTCTCAGGTCTTTTAAAATGAGAGAATCAATAGTTTATTGAGAGACAGAGAAAACATAATTCTTTGTTTTTTACTGGTAAATTCTCCAATGGGAAAGTTTTTTTTTCCCTTTCCAGAGATTATAGAATCTCTGCCTTGACATGCTGTAAGACTGACTCATTTGATAAATTTCCCTGACATAGACATACTTCATTAGTCCTCTGGGCAAGATTTATTTTTCAATTTTTTGTAGAATCAGATTTCTGTCAGTTGTTGTAACAGTCAATGGAAATGCCCAAATTCTGTCTAGCTGCATATAAGAGTAAACAGAGATTTACCTCGTAGGAATCTTTGTTTGATTTGTATTTTTCTGTCCGACACAACTGGTTCATGTACACATTATCAGGAATGTCAGTTTTCTGGGAGGGGAAAAATATATCAGTTAACGGAAAGAATCAAATCTGTTGCTTCTTTACTGTATGCAACTTCCAGCTGAATACGTTTTTCAGGAATTGTTAAAATAAATTAATAATTACATAAATAGTAGCTGGACAGCACCTTAAAATGTTTCTCTTCTAGTTAATATCAGAATAAGTACATAATATTTCCAGAGCTTGAAACATTTTAAAAGGCGCTTCTGCTACTCGTTACTTCTGAGTAGCCAAGTTGCATTATCATTCTCCAACTATGCAAATAATTTTGCACATTATGAATTATGTTGACCTTATCAACAGGCCAGAACTATACTAGAAAATGCTCTCTGGTTCCATCCATTGGCCAGTTCTGATACTACACCTTAAAAACACTAAAAAATACAAGAAAAAGCTAAACAATACTCTTGCCCCTTAGGCACTGATATAAGAGAGGCATAAAATCTGAAAAATTCCTGTTGATGTGTCTCTAAGGATACATAAGATACATTAAAATCTCCGTATATATTATTATATGTTAGTTATTACACCTAATTAACATAGGTGTTAATTACTGGACATAAAAAGTAGCTTTCTAATTGCTGGGTACATTACTCACCTCCAAAACATTGCTTCCAAAATCTAAGTATTTGTTACTATTTATTAAAGAATTTCTTTCTGGGTAAAACAGAAACTAATCAGAGAGAATTTGGAAAATAAATGCCAAATACGGCACTTCAAAAATAAGTACAACTATAGTTTCCTTGATTTTTAAAATGAAAGACCTCCCTAAATCTGATCACATGTAAAACACCCAAAGGCCTGTAATTTGCCCTGAGCTCTGATTGTTATTAAATCTCATGAAAAGCAAAGTGATTTTCCATGCTCATATCACACCAGATGTTTATCAAGAACCCAAGGCTCACAGTGGGTTAGAAAGAGGGTAGCCATTTTATGATAAGCACGGTAACCTGCATTCTAATACCTAACTAGTTTTATGAATCGATAGGCATCTAAGTGGCATGCTGCCTATGGAGGATTAAAAGAAATATTTAAACAAACAAGTTCTGTGGACTTCTTCCAAGAAAAGAGTAAGTACAAGCAATTATCTAATAAATCTTAAGCCAAATGAAAACATACAAAAAATAAGCATACAGAGCTCTTATCAAAAGGACTACAACAGTTATTTTATTAAATTGCTTTTAATCACTTACAGTATTATGCTTGACAAAAAAGATGCCCCCAGTTGATTACTAGGTTATGTTCTATACAAAGCAGTACTGCCAGAAGTGAGAGTGGCAGATGTCATTTTAGAAAAGGCACACATTTCCTCTTACATACAATATTTTTCGCTCCATAAGACACACTTTTCCATAAGACGCACCAATTTTTTAGGAGAAGAAAACAGGAAAAAAATAATGTTTTCTTCTCCTAAAAATTTGGTGAGCCTTATGGAGAGGTCTGTCTTATGGAACACACCCTAGGACCCTTTGGAGGCTCACCCTGCCCCCCCAAGGACCAAAGGGAGCAAAATTGCCCCTTCAGGGACTCTTCTGAAGCTTCCCAAGCCTCAAAAGAGTCCCAGAAGGTGGCGATTTTGCTCCCTATGGCCCCGCAGGGTGAGTCTCCAAAGGGTCCTAGGATGTGTTCCAGGACGCTTGGGAGGCTCCCCCCCATGGGGCCAGCGGGGGGCTAAATCGCGACCTTCCAGGACCTTTTCTGAGACTTGGAATGGCTCAGAAAGGTCCTGGAAGCTGGCCCCATGGGGGGGTGGAGGGTAGTCTCACAAGGGTCCTGGAAGGCAGACTCAGACCCTTGTGAGGCTCCCCCACCCCACCCCACCCAGGGCCAGTGGGGGTGAAATCACCAGCTTCCAGGACCTTTCTGAGCCTTTCCAAGCCTCAGAAAAGGTCCTGGAAGGTCGTGATTTTGCCCCCGCTGGCCCCGTGAGGGGGTGGGGGGGAGCCTCACAAGGGTCCTAGAAGGCAGGCTCAGACCCTTGGGAGGCTCCCCCCCCACGGGGTCAGTGGGGGTGAAATCGCCAGCTTCGCTCCATAAGACACGCAGACTCCCCCCCCTTTTTTGGGGGAAGTGCATCTTATAGAACGAAAAATATGGTACCTCTCACACAAGTAAATGTAGTGAATATTAACATTATATTTGCTGCCAAACATATGTGCATAATCTTTAAATGCAAATTTATTCACTTCTAATCAATTAAATGGTTTACCAAAAAGAACTCACAAGAGTAATTGGCACTCCCTAGGGTGAGTAAGTAACAAGTAATATTCCTTCTAACAGTGAACTCAGGTGGTGAGTACTGATAGAACTAAAATCCCAGTGGGGCTACTGTGACACTAGAGAGGTGTCAACATACCTGAGGAAAAGACCTTTATAAAAAGCAAAACTAAAAATCCAGTGAGCCCTGAGTAGAATCAGGAGCTGTGGAATATTGCATGGCAATTAGAAAAGGAAAGCAATGGACAAAACATGGGAGACAGAATGTCCTAGTTTAGTCTAGCTGCACAGTTTTACAGTATCCTGACGGATGGCATGGCAGCCTGGAATCCTAAACAGAAGTACATCAGCCAGAGATGATGATGATAATCACATTGCATTATAGGCTCCATTTGTAATTACTGTACCTGATTCCATAAAGTACTGACTATGCAAAATAAAAAAAATTAAAAACACAGAACAGAAATGGAAGTTCTTCTGATCTCTTTGTAGGAAGTGAATGCCAAGAATGGGACAATTATCTGTGTTTAAGGGGGAGAGAGCACACTTATGGCATGAGATCAGAAGCAAGATAACTTGTTGGTTTAAATGGCTTACATTGCAGGCCAAGAAATCCAAAACAGGTCAAGAAATGGTACAATTTGGTTTTATTTCTCAGTGCCAATTTTAAATTAACAAAGAAGCTAGAATCACTAGGTTTCCTTGGCTTGTTCTAACATAGAGATCACATCTTTGTTCTTTTGCTACAATAAAACTGTGATATAAAGATTGTTTTAGGATATAGTTCAGCCTTTTGTGTCATAGGCTTTGTGTCTAAAAGGTGAAGTTTAAAATCCCATGCATACTTTCTTAGGAATAATATATATTAAATTCAGTAAAACCTTCTTATAAATAATTTGGTTCTGAGCATGCTGACAGACAAATTAGATAGCTTTTTATTCCCATAACAAAATTTCCTCCAAGATGGGGGTCTAGCCAATCAGACTGGCAAATTAAGTCTGTGTTTTCACTTTCCAGTGACCAATTGAAAAATAAACCTTATCAGTATGTAGGAGACAGAGCTGAATGACAGCATATTATGACTAACATGTGCCATGGATCAACAGAGAGCTTTCAGCATGTAAAGATACCCTGCTTCAAACAACAGATTAAATGTATAATTCATTTGACTCTGAACTGGCTACGCCAGATATTTTGTTCCACTTCAGGAATGGTAAATCTAAGCCATACTTACTCTCAGACTTGCCACATAGCGTTCTAGCTTCTTATTAAGCAGGATATAGATGGCAAGAGTGTGGCAAGCCCTGTTAGAGAGGACAGTATTGATCACATCACTGTTCTTATAGCCAAGCTTTTCAGTCATGTAGAGCAGGACACTTTGGCTCATGTCTTCTATGTGAATCCTACATAAAAAGAAAAGGAAACGAGTTGTTTTCTCTTTGGCAGGACAAACATCATCAGAGTTTTCACTAAACAAGGTGGCAAAGAGGCACATCCTATAAATCTATGAGTGTAAAAAAGAAACATGTAGATCTAACCAAATTGAGGACCTTGTGAAAACTACACTATTTCCAAAAAAGAATTCTAGAAGTTGTTGAAGTTATTGACTATTTTATTTTTAAAATCTGCACACCCTTTTTAAAATAATGTAACATGATATGTGCTACTCAGTATTCTACCCACCACGTGATTAAAAAGAAGGGTTCCATACTATCACACTAAGTTTATCTCTTCTAGAAATACATCCATCTTGGGAAATATCTGCAGGGAACAACCTATTCCATGAAAATAACCTTCCTGTACAATACAGAAATCTGATTACGCAGGTGTCTGCATAATAAGGGTGTCAGCCTGTGTGGAGGTGTGATGTGGACAAACATAGAGGTGTCCCTACTTTCTATCTCACATGTGAGGGCGAGTGACTGAACAAAACGGGGCTACCTTCACTAGTAAAAGGTAAGCCAAGCACAAGGTGAGCTGCATCCAGGAAATATAAATCAGCAGGTATATAATAGTCTCTGTATATGTAGAACAAAACCCTAACACAGTAAGCATGGCCTCTGAAACTGTGGCCAGTGCATCATAAATACTGCATGCAATTAAGTGATTTTTTAAAAATAAACATTCAGCACCATCATCTAAGGCCATGCTATCAAAACTGGCTTATATTTCTGTTTCGTATTGTCAACTGTTTTTATTAAAATAGTTACTCACTGCCTAACTAAAACTCTCCTGAGGACAGTTTACAGATATATGTTCTTACGCACGAAATGGGTTTGAGTACATCCAAAGCCTGTCAGCACAATCCAGCTACACTGAATGAATCACTTCTAAATCCAATCGCTTTAAATCTGAAAGAATTAAGCAATTCAGTGGGTAGAAATTAAGCATCTGCCAAGTCTCCCAAAGCAGTGACTTAAAAGATGCTCAGCTTTGGCTGAATTATGCCTTGTATTTGAAAATCAGGATTAGTACTTCCTCCTTCTTATTTAACACAGGAATAACTCCTACAAATATCAATGGACAATGCAACTCTTTCTTGGCGAATTTTTCTATCTTCTAGATTCTAAAAATATTGAGGAGATTGTTTCTTTCTGCACTGTAGTAATTGCCAGTAATTACTTGTCTTTAGAAAAATTACTCTAATGACAGCAACTTCTAAAAATGCCATTGGGAACTCTTTTCATGTAAAATGTTGCTGTAACCTTGCACTTTCCCCTTATACTTTTACCGATGCAACACTGTGGTGCATAAGAATAGCAACTACATCAATAAAATAACTGAAGAAATAAGCATAGGTACTAGTTCCATTTCATGAGGGATTTGGTTGTCCTTCACCTTTTACCATCTAGATGCCTCTTGAAAACATACTTATTTACAAGAGATTTTAGATATATGTGGTATTTGATTTTATCTGTTTGTATTGTTCTTACTGTATTCTACTACATATTTTAACACCGGGTTTTAGTTATTCATCATTAGTAACTTCAGGTATTTGTAACTGGTGACCTTAAATGTATGTTTCCCAGTAGATGGTTGGACACCCTGAGCTCCTTTGAGGAAGGTCAAAATATAAACAAACATGAAAATTATATTAAATCCTACAGAAGCAGTTCGCCATGGAGCTGAATGGTGCCTTCTTCCTGAGAAACCCACTTTTGATTTGTTTTGACTTTGGGCCCACCCAGAAACGACATTAAATGTGTGTTTAAAATCTAACATGGACTTTAAATATATATATATATATACACCAGCTATCATGAGAGTTGGTAAAGGCTGAGATCCAATATTGTGTTAGCAAACTTCCAAGTGTGCAACAGGAATTTCTCCTTCTGTTTCTATTCCTGCTGTCCTTTGTGCCACTTTATAATGTCTGCTCTGGAGGTTATCCATCTGAAACAGATTCTGAGAGTGTGCAGGGGACTGCCAAGTAAAGGGGAATTTTCTTTCTCCAGGCTCTGCCGATGGAACTTGTCTCCACTGGCAGAGTGACAGTTGGGTGCTTGCCCAGTTCTTGGAATTACAGTAGGTGGGAAGAGGATCCTGAGGAGAACTACTCTTCCACAACTGCTGCCTAGATTGAGGGAAATCATTTTTCTTCTACAGTTCCATGTACATCTGCACACATTTGCTAGCCTCCTGTGAATGTCTTGGTAATCACAATCATGTTTATACCCATCACAAAGTCTGAACTAGAAGCTTAAAAGGTACCAGCCTCCTCTGTTGTATTAATATCCATCCATGTGTTACATAACCTTCATTACCATAGTAACTAGCACCTCACAATTATTAAAGGTTTTTATCCTCACAGAATCCTTTCTGAGGTTGGGAAATATCCTCCTCCACACCAAGAGGCTGGGATGAAGGCACCAGGAAAGCAATGTGACTTGTCTGTGGCTGCTCCAGAGATCCGACACTCATCCATGAAGTGATCAAATTGCAGTTCTCAGGAGCAGTATGAAAAGAGGAATGTACATGGCAGCATCTCTATGCATTAAATCTCAGAAAAGCTGATTTTTTTGGATTACAGTCCCAGGATCCCCCACCCAGCATAGCCAATCCCTAAATGCACCAACTACTAGCCATGTTGGCTAGGGGATTCTGAGAGGTCTTATTCAAAATGTCTTCTTTTTTGCAAGCTCTGTCATGCATGTACCAATAGCATGACATTAGGGAGGGCTCTTCAAAAACAAACAAGCATTTTCTGATAATTTACAACACTAATAATAATCTTAGAACTGTGGGGCTGGAAGGGACCCTATGGATCATTGAGTCCAGTCCCTGTCAAGGAGGCACAGAGGGGAATTGAGCTCCTGACTTTGGGCTCTGCAGCCAGAGACCTAAATCACTGATGATCCAGCAGTTTCCAAGCATATAAAAAGTAACCACATTCAGAATATAGTTGAGCAGAACGTCCCTGTCCTTAGGACTTACGATAAGTTTCCACACTCAGAATGAAGCACCATCAGCTTATTCTCTTGCACAGAGAAACAAAAGAAAGATAGGCAGACTTGGGCAATCTTTAATAATTTGCACAATTCCCCATGATATTAGTGGAGTTTTTCCATGTTAGCAGAACTGCCTTTCAATATAATCTGTGTTTTGTTTCTTACCTGTTGGGATAGGTGACGTTATTCATTGGTTTGCCATTCTCACTAAGCCAACGATTTGTTAAAGCTTGCTGAATATTTGGTCTTTTTGCAGGATCTGGTTCTAGCAGAGATCGCAGGAAGCTTACAGCTGCTGCAAAGACATTGAAGGGAAAAAAAGTGTCATCTATTGTGCAATTTAAGAATTTGGTAGCTTCAAAATTATGGGCAACTAACTTTACTGAAAATTTGTCAGCAGATTTTCACTGGCAAGACTATACACAGTCTTACAGCCAGAGGTACGAATAAACTAATTCTTTTAAATTAATTTAGCCGAGCCAATAACTTTAAACTCAACAAGGCCCAAACATAATTAGCTTGGTGACTTAACTGAATTAGGTCCTAATTAGTTTAACAATTACCCACAGCTTTAATAGCTTGATAGTTTTAGATTCTTTGTTTCACTGAGACTGCAACCAACAGTAAAAGTCCAGAAAGAAGCTGAGCTACAGCCAGGAGAAAAAAAAAGCTGATCATGGTAGTAAAAGGAACAGTGGGGGCTCTTCTGTTTTACATTACTTTTTTGCACTACACCTCCAGTTATACTTTGTACATTTTTTTAAAAAGTCCCATCCCCCCCCCACATTTCTTCATATAATGTCAACTTCAGGTGCTTCTCTCCAAGTCCAGAATGAAATCCATTTGTTGCCTTTTACAAAAGAAAGCACTGTGGATGCAGACCCAATGCAGCTTTAGTCAACTAAAAAGACTGTTCTACTGGCAAAGACAACTTCAATATCTAAGGTCGAGATAGGAATACAGAAGAATATCTGATTTACCATTTATAATTTATAGGACCCTTGTTTTGCTGCACATCACAGTGTTTAGCCATTACTCCACCCTACAACTACCATGTGAAGTAGATCACTATAGTTGTAAATAACACATGGGAAATGACTATGAGAAATAGTGTAATGAATGCACCTGACCTCTCCCTTTCCAGGTCAGTGCTCAATAATTCACTCTTTTAGACTGGCTCTTCTTCTTTAAATAGTAAAAAAGTATTTAACTATATACTTAAGATAAGAATCTTAAAATTGTAATCCTAAGCAATATGTTCTTAAATGTAAGTCCTCTTGAAATCAGTGGCGATAACTCCTGAATGAGGGAGACAAGGACATTAATTTTTTACTGAAACTGCTCATCCAGTTGGTAAATTTTAAGCTAGTAGTTATGATACTTTATTCGTGTTTTTTAAAATGTTCTTTATATATACATTTGTCACTTAAAATGAAGTCTAGTATTTTCTTCTGTCACTTTAAACCCTGTCTAAAGGAGGGGGGGAAACAGTATTTGAACATCAGAAGGATTGTGATCTCCAAATCTACTGAGATAAATCCTATTGGTTGTGGGTTTTTTGGGCTCTTTGGCCGTGTTCTGAAGGTTGTTCTTCCTAACGTTTTGTCAGTCTCTGTGGCCATCATCTTCAGAGGGCAGTACTCTGTGCTGTCCTCTGAAGATGCCGGCCAGAGACTGGTGAAATGTTAGGAAGAACAACCTTCAGAACACGGCCAAAGAGCCCGAAAAACCCACAACAACCAATAGGATTTATCTCAGTAGATTTGGAGATCACAATCCTTCTGATGTTCAAATACTGTTCACGAATAAATCCTATTCTTTGGTTGTGCAATTCTAATCAATTCAATATGAGCTCCTCCCTCATAAATTAAATGATGCTTTGCACCCAGCATTTTAACTAATTTATACTTTGCATGTCACTTGTATAAAAAAAAAGTCACCACATGCAACTGTGTGAGTGGCCCATCTGGACCTTTTACCGGTGACTGGAGGAAACATTGGAAGACAGTGCCAATTTCTTTCTTTCTTTCTTTGGGTGAGTTTCACAGCAAGTGCTTGGAAAACGTGACCATGGCAATGCTTCCCTTCTTTTATAATGAAAACTAATCTAGTAAGTGGCTGGTTTTATATATTTCTGCATCCCACATGGAAGGAGACTTACTCACAAGGAGGGAGGAACAGTCTGAACAGTCTGTAATTTTCTCTTAACAACAGAGAGTCATAAAATAATGGAATTAGAAGGGACCCACAAGGCCATCAAGTCTAACACCCCTGCGCAATGCAGGAATTCAAATCAAAGTACAGTGTATCTGACAGATAGTTGTCTAATTATCTCCTGAATGCTTCCCACATTGAAACATTCATGACTTCCTTAGGTAACTGGTTCCATTGCTACACTACTCCAACCATTAGGAAGTTTTTCCTGATATTCAGCTGAGATCCGGCTTCCTGTAACTTGATCTCATTATTATCTTACATATGGGAACTTTATTTTTAAAGTCCTTACAGTTCACACGTGGACACAACAATAAACATATAGAAATTTTTGGTTTTTGACATCCAACTTGTCTTAGACTGAATAATATCCAAATCTAGTTCCTCAGAAATATGATTCGTACAAGATGTTTAGAACAGATGCTGTGCTGTATAGAAAGCACTTAATCATGATTTACTGGGCAACTCCTTTCTCTTGAAATGGCCTCGCTTATACATCCCACTCCTTTCCACATCAAAATCCTTATTTCCCCACTGTGGTCTTTTGGTAGTGGAAAGACAAGTCCTGGTTGCTACTTAAACAGTAAGAGGATAAACTGAATTTGAAGGATGCCTGGTCTGACAACCTGAATATGAAACACCTCTAGAGACACCAACCACAGTTTTTAGAGATATGGAGGAATGCAAAATACCATATCTGCTGCCACAGGCCCATGAACACAAACTGTAATATGTTAAGTAATCCTGATTTGGCCAGTATCATATCTGAAGGCAGCACAGTAAAACATACCCTATTGAGGCACAATGAAAATGTGCTTTAGTGTTCATGGCAAAGGTACAAAAGACCAAAAGGTGCACTATTTCCGCTAAGGCAAATGCCTCAGCAAGTAAAATAATAACAATTGCAGAAATACAGGCCCTTCAGTAAGGCTGATTTGCTTTAAGGATGTAAAGTTTACCAATGTGTAGCTTCACAGGTACATTCCTTGATTCTTACTCTGGTAGAATTATATAAAATGTACTACTACTGGCTTGCAAACTGAGGAAGGAGGGCCCCTTTCTATACCATTTTGGGGTGATGCACCCCTCTTGCTCAGTTCAAAAACCACTAGTGCTTACAGGAGTAGGAAGGATGAATCACTTTTCTTGCACTTTGCTTTGATACTGATCCTGCCCATATGCACAATGTACATAGAAGACAGAAACAGTGCAAACCACAAATCCATGGGACAGATGTATACTCAACTTCTGATAAATGTCCTGGTCACCATTATCCTAGTACAAGCAACTATAATCACTCTAAATTGGAGCCAACATGTGGCCCGAGTGTGGGAGTACCTCACTGACATTCTGGGACAAAAAGGTTCCCTACTCTGATTAGAAGCTGTGTCTTCTCTAAATATCTGTGAAACGAGGAACAACATCATATTGTCTTATGAAAATCAGATTTGGGAGATTATTTGATTTAAGAAGGAAGCAAAAACCAATCAGCTTCAGAAAATAAAGCATAAATCCTTTAAAGTACCCAGGGTCATGCCCTCAGTATATTTAAATTGGTGGTTACTGACTTTGGGTCCCCAGATGTCCTTGGACTGCAACTCTCAGAAACCCTTGCCATCAAAGCCAGTGGTGAGGGCTTCCAGGAGAAAGCTTCCAACAACATCTGGGGACCCAAGTTTGGGAACTACTAATTTAATCCTCATAACCCCCACCCATTTCATAATGTCAAAAGCAACTCAGCTACGTAATTTCTTTTGGTGTTAATCATGAAACCAAAATCTTGAGCTCCATAAAAAAGAATACCACCATCCATATTTTACAAATTTTAGTAACATGTCTAAGATATAATTTGTAGTCTCTTCATGAACACCAATACTGGTCTTCCTTTTCTTCTTCATTTACTCCTCCTTCTTTTAGCCATCTTGCTCTCTGTTCCATTTCTTCTAACCCAGTTCTTTGTGTACTTTGACCACTTCCATCTTAATTTAATTTAATTCCATCCTTTAATTCCGTCTCCCTGGTGCTTTTTCATTGCTATTCCACATTCTAAACTTTTAATTTTTCTTGATATTTACTCCTTTTCTCACATGCTCTCATTGTTCTAAAGAACCTTCTTCTGTCTACTTTTATCTTTGTCTTTTAGAGCCTGTCAACACAGTGGTATTGACTCCAGACATTTCTAGGTCATTCTGGTATTTTTTTTTTTGGTTGCAAATTTGAATAGATCTTCCCAGTACTTATGTCCAAGCCTGAGAAGAATAACTGTTGCTCATTATACTTGGTTGTTCCGGTATCACCTGTTCACTCAAATCTGGAATTGTCACCTGACTTCTTGCTTCCCGACACTGACTTCTCTGCCCTAACCCCGCCAATCCACTCTCTTCCCCCTCCCCTATCCACTACTATCGAGCCTTCACATTTTTCCTATTTCACCATGTGACAATATGTTCCTTTCTTTCAGATTTTCAGTTCTGTGTTACAACACAAAATTAATGCTTGGTATAGTTTTTGATATTTCAGTATTTTAAACTGTAATGCTTATGGGCCTCAGCACAAAATTAATGTTTAAAAAGCTTAAAACAGCAACAGCTGATACTGAAATATGATAACTACAAAATAGATGGAAAGGTGCTAAGGTGTAAAGATTGACCAGCAGAGAGACATCTATAGGATTTCATCTCTCTCTCTCTCTCTCTCTCACACACACACACACACACACACACACACACAGAGAGAGAGAGAGAGAGAGAGAGAGAGAGAGAGAGAGAGAGGGAGTACATATCAGCATTGCAGAACAGAGTACTAGACTCCACATGATCAAATAAGAGTAACAATAACTATGTGCTGTCAAGTTGATTCCAACTTAGGTGACCCTTTTCAGTTTTCTAGGTATTTTTTTAATACATAGAATTTTTATAGAACATTTCAGAATACAGAGCAAAACTATACCACTACGCAGCAGTTGTATTAAAAAAACCTAGGAAGTAAGGAATTTTGTCTCACTATGACTCACTGATAACAGTTTCAGCCTTGTGTTGTGTGGGCACAGTGGGACATGGACTAGTATCATGGATACAACAAAAGTTGAACAAATGCTCAATTTTGACCAACCCTTAAGCCTTCTACAGGTCACAGTGTATGTTCTTTATATCAGCCTTGTATGGACAATTTCTCTGATCCCATTACCTGCAAGTCTGGAAATGTGCTAACCAGTAGGCAGTATATTTAGGGTTAATGTCTTAGTGCATTATGGATGATGAGTCTGAGTGTCCCTCAAATGACAAATACTTGAGATAACTTTTCCTAAGAGCATTTGGGCACCACAAGGCATGTCATCAACCAAACAATCTAAATCTACGTTTGACAAGAGGAACTGTGGATCAGAGGAAGTGGTGAATATTTGGGGGCGAAAGGTATGTTAACCCAGGAAATAATAACGTTCCTATATTTTATTACTGCCTTCTATACTTTTTGTAATGTGCTATAGGGCTGGAAAAGGAATACAGGAAATTCCCACACAGAGTTGTAGTATAATCATAATATGAAGTTCCAGCTTAACTGGTGTCTATGATACTTACTCCCTGTTTGAAACAAGTCAATGCTGTAGAGATAGCAACTGAAGCATAATTTTGATTGACCATAGGTTCTACCATTTTTATCTGGTTTGCTGGCTGATACATAACATTTCCAGAATATTAATTACACATTATTAGGTGCTGTTTATCAATACCAATACTTCAGTTAATTCTTTGTGAGCTGATTTAGAAGACCATACACTCACACTACTGGGGTACATTTTTCAGAGGCTGTTGCTGGGAGTACAACCAAATACACTGCAGTAAATAATCTGGGATATATGCGTCATGAATACAATTCTTGCACTCCAAGCAATTTCAGAGAAGAGAGAAGTCTAAAATTAAGATGAGTGGACACTGAAATTCTAGTCCTCTGCATGAACAACTCCTTTGGAGGCATTCCACTAATACTGACTTCATCTTCCTGTTGCAGATGGAATACATCTGAAACTCAGCAGTCAAGAAAAAGAGAAACCATGAATTAGTCTGAGGTTACAGACAAGTTCCACAATTTTGGAATCTTTCCTACTGAAAATCAATAGCAGAATGCCTTTATTTCCTGAAAAGCTTTATGAAAAGCCGTCTTTAAAAAACAAGTCTGAAGCTGCAATCCTGTACTCTCTTACTTGGCATTAAGCACTCCTGAACTCAATGAGGCTTGCTCTGTAGACAGACCTAGAGTGATTATTTCTGCATCCTTTACCTTCTGAAAACTGTAACCCTTTGCAAATAAAACTTGTTGGGCAGTAAAGCAGATTTCTAAAGGTGACTCACTATCTCAAAGTATGTGATCTAATCCTTTGTGAATATTTTGCGATCAAACATGTATTTAATTGGAGATGCAGGGGAACAGTCTGAGACTGTTTAGATGGACCAGTGTAATTCTAAATTATGGCAATCTTAATATGTTTTTTTAAGGTGTGTGAGATATGGAAGGAGTGGTTTAATAATGTCACACCCTAGTGAGTTTCCATGCTGAGTAGAACTTGAGTCCTAATCACCACTCTATCTAGTACACCACACTGGCTCTCAGGATGGGACTTGGCCTGATAAATTACAATACACTGTGTGAGGAAGACCCATATATATATATATATCAGGGATACAGCACATGCTTGAATCTTTTTGGCATGACCAGGTGGAGAAGGAAAAGGGTCCTCTCCTCTAAAATCACAGAGAGCTGCTGAGAGATAGTACTGACAATATTCAACTTGACAAACCAACTTGATCCACCTCAATATAAGGCAGCTTTTGATATATCCAGGCTTCAGAAATCCTGTCTGGGCACAGAAGGAAAAAGGGAGTGTTGCATCTTTCTTTGGAGCCATCATTGACATGAGCCCTCCGGACTCGTCTGGTACTAGGAGTACAAGGAGTCCGATATCTTCAGAATTCCAGTTTCAAGATATTGTCTTATTGGAAAGAATGCCAGGTGGCTCCTGTCTACCCCACTAGTGAGCTTCCTTGAGGCATTAGTTTGACCAATGCAGAAAACAGGATGTTGAGTTAGATGGACCTTTGTCCTCTTCCAGCAGAGATCCTCTGACACATAGTCAATACATCAGTGAATTTGGTCTGCTGCCCTGGAGGTCCTGGCACAATACAAGTATTTCAAATACCTTTGAAACTTCCAGGTTTGAAATTGGCTTTCGCCTGGGTGACACATCCAGAAAAGTAAATAACTACAAAAAAGGTGCATAGAATTTCATTTTTGCCTAGTTCTTTTTTGATTTATCATCATAAGCTGCCTTGGGTCCTCTTGGGGAGAAAGGCAGCATAGAAATATTTTAAACAGACAGACAATGGCTATTGTTACTCTAGATCAACGATGGCAAACCTATGGCACGCGTACCACAGCTGGCATGCAGAGCCCTTTTTGTGGGCACACAAGCTATAAGTCACCGGATTGCTATCCCCCTCCCCCCCGCAGCCAAACCTGTGGAGGCAGCTGCAGCCATGGTGCTGGCTCTTCAACAGGCAGTGGACCAGGATCCAGAGCAGGTGGCAAGGGATCTGGAGTGGGGTCTCGAGGCACCTCCATGCCTGGGATTCCCCCTTCCGCCATCACTTCCAGTTCTGCCACCATGGCCCGCTGTTGTGTCCCCCCCCCCCCAGTTTGGGCACTCAAGCCCAAAAAGGTTTGCCGTCACTGCTCTAGATCATAATCCAATGTTTAGTTTGATCTCTGTTCTTCCCATCCCTTGGGCTACGTCAGCTCACCATGGAAGGTTTTTTCCCCCAGTGGTAAACTTATTCCTCTTCTCATATTCACCAGGCTTCTCATACAATCCAGGCCAACCTGTTGTGCTATCAGGTTAATATGACTTATAGTGACTCTAATAGGGTTTTCAAGGTAAGTGGGATATTTAAGGAGTGGTTTTACCAGTTCCATGCCCTACCACAAGAATTTCCATGGCAAAGCAGGAATTCAAGACCAGCTCTTCCGGATCCTACTCTAGCACTCTGTCTCCTAAAGCAGTCTGGGTAATATAGACCAGAGCATCTGGTACCATGGAAAAGAGAGAGAGAGAGAACCAGGAGACATATTTTTATGGAAACTGCCAATTTAAATTTGATGGTCTGCTACTATCCTCTGAGAATCAAACAAGCGAATAAAATCTAAAGAGGTAATGTGGAAATTTGTGAAGAGACAGAATTGCTGCTGCTTATTGATGCAAGACAAAAGAGATAACAAGAAATATCATCTTAAATTACTGTTCAAAGAGTCACTTAATGTGCAGTCCATGAATGTGTTGCTTTAAATCAAGTCTTGATCTACAATGTTATGTAACATGCCATAACAGCTAGATTCTTTAGGTCTAAACCCTTAATTCTCAATCTTTGGAAAATGCATGTGTAAGAATGTAAAGACTATACTGCCATAATCTCAAACAAACATAACTCATGTTAGTTTGAGAAATAATTTAAGCAACTGTATTTGTGACTTGTATTCTTGTCAAAATTACCAACTATTACCCTATTGGTAATTCCTTCAGAAGGTGTCAATCCTCTGATTTATTACTTCAAAAGTCAATGACATCTCCCCCCCCCAAAAGAAACCCATCACCACATGCTAAAATAAACCCCCCAGAAGTAAAAGTGAAATCTTCTGTTTACTTTTTTGAGTCCCTGAAAACAACTCATGCACAGAAATGCTTGAAAAACTAGGATGGTTAAACAATCATTGTTTTAATGGTTCACACATGGAAACAAAATTTAAAAAAAGTCAAGTTTATTCCTAAATAGCTTAGCTGTGTCGATAAAGACAGCAAAACTACACTCCATAAGTCTCCTAATTTGAAAAGAAGAAGAAACTCCAATCAAGTGTGGCATCACTCAGGTCAAATTTATTCATTTAGTTAATCCATTATACAGTTGCCCAAAACCTGTCAACCAGAAATCAAAAGTTTAATGCAAAACATTAATTATGAAACTTGTAAACAAATGGGGCAGTATTGTAAGGAGTGTTTTATTTACCTGTGGAAAGCTGAGTAGGGTAAGGATTCATTTCTTTATCTACCATCTTCTGATACAAAGCTCTCAAGCTGAATGGCTCCACAGTAAAGGGAAGGGTTCCGGTCAGCATTGCGTACATATTCACTCCACTGGAAAAAGTTTGGATGTGAAGAATTAGGACAAGCAAACAAATGCCTTAGAAAGAGGCAAGACAGGTGAAGAACACAATAGGTTTGGTAGTCCATGTATCAAGATCTGAAATTTTGTATGTACAGAGTGCTAAAATAATTAAAGGGACTGAAAAATGCAACCCTGAAAATGTACAATGTGCTTATGAAAATGAGGCTCCAACAGCAGTTCATTAAAAGTCACTGCTGAAAATGAGGTTCCAACAGCAGTTCATTAAAAGTCACTGCAAAACAATCAGCTAGTAACAGCCAAGTCTGAAAGGAAGGTCTATGTAGAATAAAGTAAAATAACATTGGCTCACAAAAATATCGCTTTCCTAGCTAGCTGTCTCTTGAGCGTATATAAATAAATGATAACAAAATACAAAAAAACCAAAAAACCTCTAGACCTGGAGCATCAAAATGCAGTTTGAGCAAGTTGGTACTGGTTAGATTCTTTTGCAAGCACATGTTTATTATCTGTGGAACACAGAGGAGCAGACAAAACTACCATTGGTGCTTCACATGGCCTGTTGACCAGTGTTCCCTCTCTACGGCATCATAAGGAAAAGTCATTTTATTGCTACTTGAGGTTCTTTTAACTGGGGGGGGGGTCATTCTGGGATCGCATATGGGACCATAACAATCACAATATAGCTTTTGTCTTAACCACTGGTTGTCAGACAAGGGCATTTTACTTCCTCAGAGTAATGTTTTGATGTGGAATACACGAAGTGAGAAGTCAAAGTAGATTTCTGAAAGGCAGACATCTTGACTACTCACCCGAGGAGCCATACACAATGACCCAAAATTCAGCCACTTGTCATGTTCAGGTCCCAAACAAAAAAAAGGGTGGGATCATGAAAGTGGGATCATATTCAACACAGCCATACCCTCTGTGCCACCATTGTCAAACCTGCTGGGAAGTAAGCAATACTGATGAAGCCAACTATGAACTTGCCTCCACAGTGGTGTAACAACTATACTGCGTAAGGCATAGGTGAAGAGGGCACATGTTAGCCAGTGGAAGAAGGAATTATATTTTTTCAGTGACAACCTATAGTAGTTTTGCATTTAGTACATTTTTAAATGTGCCTGTCATCTGAATAGGTCTTCAGATGTCACACAGCCTAAAAAGATGTATTTGATCCTACAAGAATTTTTCCTAATGTGAACTCTTCTAATTGTTTCCTGAATTTAAACGATTTAAATGATTTCTCTGAAAGTTAATCTCATTTTGCTGACTAATACTAAAAGTCATACACATAACTTGGAGACTAGAGATGGGCCCATATGCTGTATAATACTGAGGAGCAAGAACCACAAGAGACTTTGAAGGAATCTTTTGTAGTGTTAAAGGCTATTTGCGTTACTTGTACACATGGACCACACATAGTGCTGGCTTGCATCATGCTGCTTCTAAGTACCATATGGATGTGAAACCTCAAGGGCTAAATGGGTGTTTTATAAAACAGCAGATGGAAAAACCCAAGAGCTAAATAGGCATATACCAATATACCATATTCAAAAATAAAGCATTCCTATTAGATGATCACACTATGAATAAAATTATATATTTCCTTAAATTAAGTGGTGGAGGATGTTACTGCTTGGGAATATTAAAGGGCAGAACTGGAGAACAGTGGCTTTCTCTTTTTCTAAATTCATGTCAGAGTAAGAGCTCCTTCGTTCTGCAGCCTCAGATTGAGGTGGAGGAGTGACCATAACCAGTTAAGGAACACGATGACAGTTTTTAGCTTTGGATTTTCTCACAGCGCAGATACTGCAAATGAGGCTCCAACATGCAGTATATGACTGCCAAACCTAGTATCTTCAGCACCCCCAAGCCCCCTTAAAAGTAGAACTAATATCTACTGCAACAATGTTGAAATCAATAAAATTAATTTGATTTCAGAGCATTATTTGAATTCAGAGCATTATGTTTTGTCACAATGCTCTGAACTCTGAGTCCTGGTTAGTGATATAACAATAAACTTTGGGGTACATGCATTGCTTATGACAGTCCTTGTAACAATGCCCACAAGGAAAATCCAAAAATACAGGCAGCTTTAATCCATGCGAATGAACTAGTTCTATCAATCTACATCTCTACCAGGAGCTGGCCCTTTCTAAAGCTAATGGGTCTTAATTGCCCTTTTAAGCAGCAAGACACACCAAAAGGCTAACGTTCTAATATGAAGAGCTCACAAAAATGCATTGTTGCCACCTTTCAAAGTACTGTGAGCAATACCTCATGCATTTATCCAGTGCTATCTGAAAATGTCAGCGAAGCTTGGGGGCAGGAAATTTAGAAGTAGGTGGCAGGTGACATCACTGTTCATGCATTTTGTTCCTGGCAGCCCTAGCTCCAACACACCAGTGATTCTAGGTTAGTTTAGGTCCCTGCCTTCATAGATGGCAGCTTGGCAATCTCCATGACCAAAGTAAATGATACACACTAGACAACCCTCACTGCAGAGAACATACTGTACTGAATGTACATTCAGAAGGTTCTTAGCAGATGCTGAAGTGATGCAGGTGCTAACAATTCTAGTCTCCAAACAGTTCATCAATTTTCTAAGGTGGGATACATGTCAAACAAGAAAGGGCAAAAACAGACATACACGTGGCTTTTTCAATTATAGTAACTCACATGGACCAAACATCTATTTTGGGACCATATTTTTTCCTTGCAAGAAGTTCAGGTGCTGCGTAGGCTGGGCTGCCACACTGTGTGCTGAAAGGATCAGAGTATCCCAAAATGCTCGCACAGTTGCTTAAGCCAAAGTCTGTGAAAAAGAAAATAAATGGACCTTTAAGCATGACAGTAGGGGAACAAATTCCCAAAATTCATGCTTTATTTAGTTTTTCTAAGTTTTTCTCAGCATTATTCAGTTTTTCTAAATAGAGGTTCTGTTTCTAGTTTAGCCTTTTCCTCGAGTCTTATAATATATGGTACGTGTAGATCTTGTTACTCTTATTGTATCTTGTGTTAATCGTAAATGATTGCGGGACTGTCTAAAAGACTAGTATAATGTTTTTCTTAAATAGATAAAATAGATGTGAGGGCAATGGAAAATAGACAAGATATTTAAACAACATCTGAGAAAGAAGAGTGAAGTACTAGCTTATCTAAGTTAATGTGTTAAAATAATCTGTTCTCCCTAGCCTAAACCCAACAGGGTGCTGTCACTTCAGTGACAGTGTGACATGAGAGTCTAGATTCTAAGGGCAAGACCCCAAACTTCTTCCAAGTACCTAGCATCATGCTTCTCCTGAGAGCACCCAACCAAGGTTTGATATGGTATATCTCCAAACCAGAAAAGGAGTTTTGTCCTTCACTGTATAGTTTAGGTATGACTGTTAAATGGAGTCAGATATGAACTACTCTCCAAGTGCCAGTGGCTTTGAGCCCCGCAACAAGTCAACATGTAAAAACACCCTAAGGTATGTGATGCTATACTAGAGGATTAAGTGTACTCACTCAGAGTGGAAACTATTCTAAATATGAAACCCTTATGAAGGCAGGTACATATCTCTTAAATTTCTGTTTGCAATTGAAAATACCAGAGCAGGTAAGTCAACCTTTCTTATTAATAATATCATAATCATTTCTTACAAGCCTTGAATCCAAACAATTCCTGAAGAAAGTACAACTACTCAAAGTGAAAATATTAGGATATTTAGTTTAAATTAAGCTATCTGCAGTTTGTTGGAAATGGCATTAGGTGCTCTCTGAGGCTCAGAGCAACATAACCCTTCAAGGTTGTCACATGGTATGGAAAGATAATTTCACTGATCTATAGTTAAAAGATAATCAAAGCAACTTTCTACATAATTTATTCCCACTTTTTTAACCCAATTAGCCTGCTTTGGTTACCAGCCTACTTCCACGCCAGGTTTAAAGTATGGGTTCTAACATAATGCCTTCAAAGGTTTGGGACTTCACAGTGTGTCAGAATGTTTTCACCCACGTTTGACTATCTGTCTGACCAGCCCTCAGAGACCATGCACCATGAATATTAACACCTTAAGAGGCCTGAAAATAACTAGAAGCTGGGCCTTCTCTGCTGTGGCACTTTCCTTATGCAATGTCCTGCCATAGGCATTAGGCCAAGCACCCTCTCTCTGCACCTTTCAAAAACAATTAAAAACAAAGTTTTTCAAAAGAGGCCTTTGGTGAGCTTCTCCTCAATTGACTGAATGTGTGGAGGAGGAAGAAGGGTTCTTCTTTGCTGTCTAACAGTTTATTGCAGCTTTACTTTTTATACACCGCCCAGAGTATTAATTTGCTAGATGGGTGGTATAAAAATTGAATGAATGCATGAATGAATAAGAACAAGTGTAAAACGATTCTGGAGTTAAATAAAAAAGGAGCAATTAAAGTTCCAGTCTAGTTTTAAAGACTGAAACCCTCAAATAATTTGCACCACTTAAACATTCAGAAGACATCTCATGCCAAACCCCACTCCATTCACTCATGTGTCCTCCTATTCATTATTTTCTGCCCTAATTTTAGACAACAGTTTGCATAACCTCTGAGGTTATGATGAAGCCTTTCTTTTGAAGTAACAGTCACCTGGCTTTGACTATGCCTTTTAGATTCACTGCTGCTAGATAAATGTGTAAGCATCATAAGCAGATGTTTTTATAAGGGAAATATTTTCCTTTCAGTGCCCACAGCTAAAAGTAATGGGAGGTATAAACAGACAGTGAAAGAAGATGACTAATTTATGGGGTCTGCCAAATGTGGACGAATAGTGCACTGAATGCAGCTGGAAAGCAGCTACACAATCAAGGGGCCATTGAACGAGTGATTTAAAAAGCTTTCTTAATGAAACCCTCAATCTGGTTTTGCAAATGAGCATACTGACTATCCTGTGAAAAAAGCTTTTGCTTTATGCTGTCTGACTAAGAAGCTCAGATCACTGCAGCATAGGAAAAAGACCAGAAATAGAAGTCTCCCAAACTACGCAAGATAAAAAGCCAAAGGGCAATGTCTATTTCTACCCTTAAATAATTCACAAATATATAAGATTTCACAAAAGTCTCTTCTGATTTACTGTATTTGTTTTGTCTCTGAAGATATCACGTTGGCTTGAGTTATGCATGCTGAAATGTTAGCACTGCTTCCATTCTTAAAAATGCATGATTCTAAAAGAAAGAGCCCCACTGGTGCATTTTTTAATGGTGACAGGGGTGATCTATGGCTGAACAGACATATTTTTAACTCTACATCAATTCAGAGGTACAGAAAAAATTGAATCTACCGTATGGTTATAATTAATATTTTTCTCCACATTACATATTGCATTAACCTTTGTTGTTCTTTTAAAGACAGCACAACTATCGCTTGTGAAAACAACTTTTATTACTCCAATTTTATAAGTAAGCAAGGCTAACTGAAGCCAACTTATTTCCAGTGACAGATTAATGCTTATCAGTTTTCGTTGTAATATTTTCCATATGCTTAGAAGATTACAAGATCTTCACTATTTTTACATCATTCTTCCACAAACCAGCATTATATTTTGTCACATTGACAATAAGGTACTTTTTATATCATTACAGAAGTATTAGTCATACATGTTTCATACCAATAAGCTTGATATTGTTCTCTTCATCCAGCAAGAGATTTTCTATCTTCAGATCTCTGAAATATTTTTTAAAAATATGCTTAATGAGGATGGGAACAGGTTAACATTTGAGATTTTCCACATTTCCTTAAGCACCGCTGTTTTCTACTTCACTTAATTACTGGTACAATCTTTGTTTTCAGGTATAGAATATGATTGGAACAAGAATGATATAGACAGTATTCAGGTATAGAATATGATTGGAACAAGAATGATATAGACAGTATGGAATAATGGTCAGTAGTATGGCGGGTTAGGTTTAGGGAGATCTTTGTTTAAATCCACAATAAAAATGATGCTCACTGGATAGAACCAGTCAATCTCTTAGTCTAACTTATCTCCCAGGGTTGTTGTGGCAATAGATGTGAAGGGAGGAGTAGCTATACTGGAAGATAGCAGGGCATAAATGTGAGGAATTAACAGAACAAACAAATAAGCAATACAAATAACTATCTGAAACAAACAAACAAACAAACAAACAGGCAAGTTGGTTGGTCAGAAAGCAGAGTATTTACCTGTTATTTTTAAGTTCACACACCTGGTTGCCTATGACATGACCTGAATCGTAATTCATCCTACACAACTCCTGATGAGCTTCAGGACAACTGTATAAAACCACTGTCCTCCACAGTAGTTCCAAATCATACTGGTAGACTAATCCACATTTTTAAAAGCCCATCACAGCTAATCTACTCCAGACTGTTTCTGTTTAGACAAACCCATTCCAAGGGTTACGAATATTTCAAGGGGAAGTAAATCATGAATCCAAAGAACACTGGCTCTACTTGAAAAAGAAATGAAAGAATCATGCAGCTGAAATCTATTTGGTGTCATGATGTAAGAGTGGGAATGAGCAACTTATATCAACCCTCATAGTATGGATGTATTGGCCAGGGCTAAAGGCAATGGTAGTCTGAAAACATCTGGAAGTCCACTTGTTGCCGATCCCTGAGGTAAAAGTGGAAGAGCAAAAACAGCTCTTTGTCTTCAAAGCAAAGTTTAAGATATTGTGACCCTGTGCAGTTGAAAGTGAATTCCTAAAGCAATTCTATGGAAGAAAAGCCAACTTTGCATTTCAAAAGGAAGCAGTTCTCAGCTCTGCAGATTTCTATCATAAATACTGCATAGTCAGAGTCAGACAGCTTGTCCTTAAAATGAGTACGGTGAATGCCTCAGGAGATCAAGAAAGAAGTGCAACCTAAGATACCACAAATAATTCTGTTACCACATGTTTTCAAATGTTTTCCTATTCTTTATTATTTCCACAGTCCTACAATATTTAAATGTTATACAGCCATTTTCTCCTCCCAGTTCTAACAGACCACCTGAGGATGTGTTAATAGGGATGTTATCATTGAACCTCAAGCTATTTTCCACCTTTCTGGCATTTTTCTGGCCTATTATTATATAATGAGACAAGGAAATACCCTTGGGTCAAAGTAGATATGATGGTAAAGATATTTTTGTTGCTGAGATACAAGTTTTTTTAAAAATGCAAATAATGTCAGCAGGGAGGATGGTAATTACTGGGATCACAACTGATGGGTAAAGAGGTGGAGTTAACCTTTTTCTTCCCTTCATCAACCCTGACAAAAAACCACTTCCATGAATCTTCTTTTCATAAAATGGCTGCTTCAAAAAAACTGGCTGAAACCCTGCTCAGATCTCTGCAAGCATAGTGATAATACACAGCAATTACCTGTTAGGGTGGCCTGACCCTGTTCCTGTTTGATCAGGATCTGTATTGTAATGCATGCAAAGACTGCTGACTTCCTGAGGGGGAAAAAAACATGTGGAATCTAACAGAAAGTTAAAAACAGAAATAAAAGGAATGGGCAAACGACATTTACACATATATGGCACCACCACTGGGACAGGTCTGGCACCATAATATGTCAACCTGTTTATTGCAGTGTGTAGAGTTACACTGATGACATTTTCCTAGGGACCCCGGAACTATCCAGCACTTCCCTAATGAAGAAGAATCACTTTAGAGATATTCTCTCATAATTTTAATATTGCTCATCCTACTACAAACCTGAGCATAACATACTCTGTATGTGTATTTTCTTAATAGTGTTATCTTCAGGTCTAGCTGACTCCAGGCCACCCTTGACAAGAGACCAACTAAATGTTACAGAAACCCATATGCCAGTCATGCCTGGGACTACATAAAATCAAGAGTGGGAAAGTGCAGCTCTCCAGATATTGCTGGATGGCAACTCCCACCAGTACTAGCCAACATAGTTGAAGGCGAGAGTGTCTCAAACAGAGAGAAATCCCATGCTTGCATATGGACAAGTCTCTGAACTTAAATAATTGCTCACCAAAGGACAAAGTATCTTTGTGGATTTCAAGCTAGGATCCAGACCTTGCAATAGACCTCAGCACCGACTACACTAATTAATCAACAGCAACACTGTAATTAACTATCTTCCCAATGGTACAACCCAATGCATCTAGGATACTTACGTATAAAGATGTCTGCATGTCAGCTAACATAACGTGATATGTAAACATTCTTAAAAGGGTAAACTATGTTAGTCTGTAGGAGCAAAAACCACAAAAGTCTTGCTGCAGGTTAAAAGCTAAATTCAATATGGCACAAGCTTTCATGGACCGTAAATGACTTCTTCATATAAAGGAGTGGGCTATGATCCATGAAACCTTATGTAATATCATGTATTAAATGCCTTCAGGCAATATGTGTTGGAGAAAGAGGCTGACTTTTTAGGAAAAAGACTAAATGTACATAAATCAGATATAAAAAGCAAAAGCGTTAGGAAAAAGCCCATTGTAAGCCTTTTAAGTATTCCTGTCATAGAGTCACAGATCACAGGGTAACTGTTCTACAGAATATCAATTCAAGGAAACAAGAGGAACATCAGGCTACAAAACTGGAACTCATAGTAAATCAGATAATTTCAATAAAGAATAAAGACTGAGTGCTTTATGTTTTAATACTACCTACAACTATTTTGCATTGCTTCTCTTTATTACTGCATCTTTAAAAATAAATGAAACTATTGGTTAATCTAAAGTGCACTACTTCATATCTCTACTAATATTTACAAGAAACCAATCAGGCATGAGCCAGATACACTACTGGATTGGATAACTGCATGTGCAGTGCAGCTGCTCAGGTTGAATTATGCTTTCCCACTTCTTTCTCCTTAGAACAGAACCTAAAATTGCCAAAAAAATAATTTGAGAGACCTACTGAACCTAAGTAGTGCTTCAGTAGGTCTCCCAACATCTGGACCCCTTCTGTCTATGGGAGGTGAAACTTGGATTGAGTCATCAAATTCTGGTTATTACTGGTTATTACTCTCCATACTACTATGGAGGGGAAGGGCCACAAACAGAATTAGAAAATACTTGGTTCCCCACCTCCAACTATAGCTCCCAGAAAACAATGGTGTTTGAGGGATTTTAGTAAAATATTAACATTTCTCATCTCTGGCCATGACCAGCTGAGAAAGGCTGTTTGCTGGGAAATCATGTTACAGAGGGTGGTGTAAGAAGCAGACAATGGTCAACAATGTTTTATTTGGGAGGGGGTAAGAGACCAGTGGTCCAAAGCCATTTGGTGATGTTATGGATTAGCTACAGCATTTTGGCTCTCAAAACAAAGCACAATCATAGCTTGTACAATATAGAAACACAAAGTCTATTTTCCCTTCTCACCAAACACTGCTAGTGATCTTAATACCAAAGTTCAAGAAGGTGATATGCATCTAGTTCGACAATGAAAGGAACAGTGGAAAAAACAGATACACAGGAAGCTAGTACATTATTAAATTGCTTTCTTTGACAGTCTGACAGTAATTGCACTGAATAGGATTGAATTTAGTTAAAATTACTTTAAAAGGGTTGCTGAGAATTTCCTGTGGGATGCTACTGCAAGCACCAAGCCTTTCACTTCATTGTCTTTTGTTGTCCTTACTCCCTTAGGAGGCTTAATAGTCATTCTGTTTTTGACGGCATGAAGGCCTGTGTAAATACCTTCTAAAAAGAGAACATTTCACTATATATTGCCATTCAAGATTGTTTTCTTCTGTCAGAGAAAGAGACAGTGATTGCTATCTAATTCAGATTTGAGCTTGCTATTCATGCAACAACCAACCACCTGCATTCCAGGCAGTCTTGTAGTGATAACCACACATTTCCTAGAAGCCCTGCTGGCCTCTGCAAGGTCTGTTGTGCAACAGGTCTTAGGAGACATAGTGGAGTGTATGGACCATACACTTTAAACAGTGATGCACAGAGTTTGTCCCTGCACATTTCATTACATCAAAGGGGGAAAGTTAAAATGTTTCACTATTTAAATTTTTTCATGGTCAACATGAAAGTTGTTCTGAAGTAATGACTCTACTTAAGGTTCAACTGCAGTCCTGCTTTGGCCCTTTCCCTTTCACTAAAAGTCATTGCTGCTCTCTGCCAGTTATTGATGTTTCTTCCACCAATTTTCACTCCTACTCCATTTGAATTGTTTCCGCTGAAAATGTTTGGAAGCAAAAGCAACCTCTTCCTTTTGCTCTTGGTTGCAAGACATGATAGTGCTTTTCTAATAAAAAGAAACAAATCTTACAACAAACAACTTGATGTAGTCTGTAGATCATTAGCCTATATCTAGTGGCTGATCTCAGTTACAGAAGACCTGTCAAGTCAACAGCTGAATGGTAACTCAACACTTGTGTAATTACAACTGATACAGAGGGTCTGCTTTATTTAGGAATAGGTTTGTCTCATGTGTTACTAGGGATGAGAAGCTGTAAGTTTGCTTAATGAGACAGCCTTGAACTAAGAGCAGGAGAAGCTTGCCCTGGTAACTCTTTGAACTTGCTCACATTTTGAATTAGGTTCCCAACTGGGCTCAGAAATGCAGAGGTAACCGCTCCCCCTACTATTACCAAGGATGGTGAGAGATCAGATAGTGTGGTGCACTGGTGGTATACAAAAAATGCAACTCATGTGGTTAAGAAGCTCTCTTTTTTTCCAAGTGAGATGAACAGCAGCTTTCTAAAATGAGTAGCTGCTTCATTTTCATGCACACTGAGCTTTTGTGATTTGTTTTGTTTTGTATGTATGTCATTTGGAGATTCATTGTACTTTTTTCACCTTAAAAGATTTGTTTGAAGAAACAAGTGGTGACCAACAAAAATCACAGAGAACAAATACTCCCTGAAATTATGCTCTAATAAGAGTCCATTTACAACATTCTGGATGACTCAGCAGAGAAAAGTTAAATCTCCCTTCCCTGAACACTGGCTTATGCTTTTCCCCTTAAATTACCTTCATGTGACTATAAACCATACTATGAGTGAACCTGTCCTGCTATAAGCCACCTTAGGCTCTTGTTCCAGGAAAAAGTCAGCCGCCTAGAGTGGTCTTAATTGACTAGATAGGCAGGATATAAATAAAATTTAAAAAAATTAAAAAAAATAAAACCAGCCCAACAAAATTGTTGACCAACTTACAGAGAACTTCCTCCAGCCTGGCTAAGGTTTTATCAGCATTTTGTAAAGTGCATTGCCAATCAACCAACAACTACTTAGAGCCTCATAAAAAGGACAAAGGAACAAGATCCTTTGTACCAGAGGTACTGGAAATGTCTGCCTTAAAAAATTCCTTCTGTTTGCGTTTACAGGACTTTGTACAGTATTTTCATAAGACTGAAATATATGATTTATTATTTATTTATTTAAATCATGTTTACCCCACTTCTTAAAAAGGAGCCAAGGCAGTTTCTCGTTATAATAAATTCAAGATCAAAACACTTTATAATATTGTGATATTTACCCATTCATGACTATATTTAGTGTTTATTAACAACATCCATGTTGATTAGGTAATGACATCTCATCACCCCACTGCATCATTGTAATGATTTACCTTAATTACCACTCAGGGATAAATACTTGTACTTGTCCTGACAACTCTGATTTTGTTATTGTTCTTGGAACAGCACACTGAAGCTAACATTTTAAGCATTATGCCCCCACCTCTGTTGAAAAAAGCTCAGTGATCATAGGAACATGCTATAAATGCTGCGGTACCCAGCAATTCTAGCCCACATAAGAACTCTAACTAGCCTCCTTTGTTTATAATGAACACAGAATGTGAACACATACAGATCACAGATGAGGTGTGAGTGCAGTTATTTTTAGAGCTACTTTAAAAATAACTTCATTGCCAACTGTACTTAAGGCAAGAATGAATTGTGTCTTTCTAAAGCATGGATTTAGCATCTCCCAGCTAAGCTTAATTAATGGAGCATATATGTGGGAGAAAGTGCCCACTAACAGCTCAATCTTAATAATGAGAGCCACTGACATGGAGGAAAGGGTTAGGATGATGTGGAGGGGGGGGCATTCCAGGGACCCCATGTACACCTGTGGAAATGAAATGACTTTGGGTAGGAATCTATTACTGGTGGCAGTCAGTGGCAGCCCCAGAATGGGGCATTCTAAAGGTGGGATGAGGGTGGCTTTGGCCCCACTAGATCTAGTCTCTTCTATTCCTCGGTGCAAAGCTGTAACTAGCAATTTTGTCTCCTGGGGCATATGCCATCATCTCTAACCTATTCTGCCCTGAGGCATGGGTGAAAACCCACCAACAGAAAAAGTGGGGGAGATTTAGTATCCGTCTCCAAGGAAAGAGAAAATGCATGCTTGGGGGAAGGGGGGGACTGATTGTGAAGAATGCCAGGAGATACAGTGGTGCCTCGCACAGCGAGGTTAATCCATTACGGATTAACCCTCGCTGTGTGAAAGCATCGCTGTACGTATCAAAAAAAGCCATTGGAATGCATTAAACAGTGTTTAATGCGTTCCAAATGGTCAAAAACTCACCGTACAGCGATGCTTTTCCAGGTCCGGCAGCCATTTTCGCGCCCTCGCTAAGCGAGGGGAGGGCGCAAAAACGCTGCGCGCGGCCATTTCGGCCGCAGCGAGACCGTGGATCAGCTGGTCGGCGGGTCCAAAATGGCCGCCGGAACAGCCGAAATGGCCGCGCACAGTGTTTTCGAGCCGTCCCCTCGCTTAACGAGGGCGCGAAAATGGCTGCCGGCCATAGGAAGCATCGCTGAACGGTACGTTTTCGGCCCACTTGGAACACATTAAACAATGTTTAATGCGTTCCTATGGGTTTTCTTGATCCGTTCAGTGATGCTTCGCCATAGCGAAGGTTAATCCGGAACGGATTAACCTCGCTATGCGAGGCAATCGCAAAACCGGCCTCGTAGAGCGGATTCATCGCTCTACGAGGCGCCCGTTGTGCGAGGCACCACTGTAATTGGTTTTTATTTATTTATTTATTTTCCCAACACCACCAGTAGATTCACCTCTAGATTTTGGTGCCCTTTAAATTTCAGTGCTCTGGGGCAAAGCCCTAGTTGTTTCATTTTAGTTGCTGTACTGCCTCCCTGGGACTTTGGGAGCAAATTCCAAACTTAGGAAGCCTCAATCAGGATGGGAGTAACATTTTTTCTCCCACAGATTTTAACGGGAAGGCAATTAAACTGGACCTGCTAGGAGAAAAACCAGCAGAAAAAATTGTCCCTCCATCTCCTGTCCTTCGTGAGGGCCTGAGAGAAGGCCATCTCAGGGGCTGCTCCCAGGCCTTGGAACACACTGCCCTGAGAAGGCAGGTTGGCCCCCTTCCCTCTTGTTCTTCCGTTGCCTGGCACAGACGTTCCTCTTCAGGCGAGTCTTTAACCAGCAAGTTATCTCAAAAATGCTTATAGGTTATAAATATTTTAAAATTGTTTTTCACTTGATTGTTTTAATTGTAATGTATATTTAATTGTTTTTAAAATGTGGTATTTATATAGTGTTTTAAATTTTACCTGTTGTGAGCTGCCTTGGGTCCCCCCTCCCCAAGGAGAAAGGCAGCATATACTGTAAATAATTTATATAAATAAATAAATAATGTAATCAGTTAAATAAGCAAGCAGTTTTCAGTGTGAAAGACTCAGGTCTAAGACCTTTTAATATACTTATGTATAATGTAGCCACAGGGGGAAAAATTCTTTGCACTGGGCTAGTCATTTAGCACTTTTGCAGAAGACATGAAACAGTGAGAAAGGACCAGAAAATTTAACCTACAAACTGCTACTTTGCATACATGAAGGCTTTCAAATAAACTGCTACTTTATTTTACCTGTGAACAACTCCTGCACGATGTAGATGTTCAACAGCGAGAATTAGCTGTCGAATATATTTGCGGGCTTCGTGCTCTTCAAGTCTCTTCTTCTCATAGATTTTGTGCATCAGGTTGCCTCCCGGGCACAGCTCCATGACAAGATAGTAACTGTTCTCAGTTTCCAAGATATCCAGCAGCTGAGCAATGTTGGGGTGGCGAATCATTTGCTGAATCTGGCCCTCTCGCCTTAGATTCTTGGTCACGTAAGTGTCCTTTTTAGCTCTCTTCTTGTCAATAACTTTCACTGCCACCTGGTAAGAAGGAAAGACACGCTACTGTTATTACATTTTAACCTTTTTAGCTGGTGTAAGTGAATTTTTACCTCACGAGAAATCGATACAGGGAAAAATGTACTGCTGACATCAGGCTGCCTATATGCAGAACATGGACTCTATTTCTAATGCCTCTCCCACCACCAGTCATAAAATCCTAAGAAAAAAAAACAGGACAAAATCTTAATCCTCTATTGAAGCACAATTCTAGGCTTCTAGATATTGTAATTTTTATGGAAACGGAATGGTATCACTTCTTTGGTAAATTATTCCTCTGTGTGGTACATGGTTCCCTACATGGGAAAAAGGTTATAATTAATCCTAATGTAAGCAAGTTCTCCTTATTTTATTTATACACACAAAAACTATATATTGCTCTTTGGGTGGTTATGAACTATGCAGGGCAGTTTACAACTCCTGCTGTGTGCTAAATACAATAAACTGCCAAATAACACTGAAAATACAGTGTAGTAAAAATAATATAATATAAATATAAATAAGCACTGGATTAACTTCCAGTGAGGAGACATGCATGCTCCTGGGGCAATTCCCCAGTTTTTGTGTGGCCTGTTCACCATGTGTAGGACATAGAGACAAGCTTCCACTGCAGATCTTAAGAAGAGATAGCCCTTAAAGTATCCAGGAGCTAAGCCATTTAAGGACTGTGAAGTATCACAACTAAGTCTTCAACTTTTAAACGGTGTAGGACACGTAGAATTAAGTGAATTCCTACCAACATTCTGTGCTAGCTGCCATTTCTGGAGATTCTTCCAAGCAGACCCAGGTAAAGCATGCTGTATGAATCCAGTTGAAATGTCATTAAGCCACATGTCACCATGACCGGATCAGACCTTTTCCCTCATGAAGATGCCCAATTAACACCACAGCCTAACTTAGGAAAAGGCTCTCCTGGCTATAGCCGCCACCTAAGCATCCAGAGGTACAGCATACTACAGATGCATCTCCATGTTGTGAATCTGATTCTTCAAGGAAAATGCTACTCCACCCAAAGCATGACAAATCACATTATAGAGATCATCTGTCTCCTAGTCAGGGACAAGGTTGCTTTTAAAAAATCAACTTTAAGGGGTAAAACAGAAAAAAGCTTTAAAACTTAATTCTTTTGTTGGTTCTTGAAAGAGAACATCTTAAACATAACGAATTAGTTTAAACAAAAAAGGGAGAAATGGAAGCTTCGTGGGAGGGCTTGTGTTTCCTTTTTTTCTTAATTTTTTTCTTTCACCCAAACTGTCTGGGAAATTTTCCTTAATGGCATTGGCATGCGTCTCCTTGCCATACCAATCCTTCTTTCCCCTTCCTCTTCTTGCTTTGCTTCTGCTCCTCTGCTCCTCACACTCTTCCCTCCCTCTCCTTACTTTGCAACTTTGGGGCTGTTTTGGACTAGCATCAGAAAAAAAACGAGTGAAGAAATAGCAAAATGAAATGACCCAAAAGAGGTGCCCCTCTTTCCTAGTAAACAAAATGAAAGAGAGATCTCCTTATCAAGAACAAAATGGAAAAGTTTCCAACATGAACATCTCTAGTCACAAGTACCTCTATTCTGTCTGGATTAAGTCTATGTTTGTTATCTCTCATCTAGTCATTAGTCTCCAAACAGCAATCCAGAATATCAACAGCTTTCACTCAGCTTCAAAGTGACTTTAAATCAATCAATCAATCAGTCAACCAACCAATCAATCAATCAATGTATTTTCTCTTTCCTTTCAACTTTCTTCAGAGTTTTATGACAATGAGTTTAACTTGCAAATGAGATCTATTGGCCCAGTTGCTCATTACTGCACAGACAACTGTCTGCTCATTGCAATGACAAAAACAAAGGATAACTTTGTATTCTCTCACAGTACTGAGTTTTGCATTGAGGTAACTTCAAAGGCAACGCAGCAGGTTTCCGGGGCCCTACCTCCTTGTCTTAGTGGGCAGCCACCAAAGGAGGGGGAGAAGGGAAGTGGATGCTGCTATCAGTGAACAGGCGGCGGGGGAGGAAAGCATGGTTCATTCGGGCAATGAGCAAGCACGCAGAGGAGACGGGAGAGGAGAATATGCGGAACACCTGTGCAGGCACTGGGCTGAACTTCCAAATTGCAGTTCATGCCCATCTCCAATTTCTACTACAGGAACTTTGTTTTCTGGCTATAGTAAGTGCTAAATCTTTTCTGACAATGTCAGAAAGAAATAGTCCAAGAATCAGTATGTGCTTTCTTGGAATAATACACATATTTTCCCAAATAAATTATGTTATGACCATGGTTTCTCATTGTTCTTTCTTAAACCACCTGGTGGTTCCAATCACCTCAAAATAATATTTCTTTAGATATATTTTTGACCAAACCTAATATTCTGAAGGAAAGTCTAAGCAATCTTAAATTTTAGTATATGGGTCAAAAAGAAGCCTTGTCATTGTATGAGGCCTCTTGAAAAGTATGGCAACCTCCATCCTGTGTACATTAAATTAAAAAGTTCTAACTACAACATGACCCCAATTTCAGTGTCCTTGTCCAGACAACTTGCTTAGCTGACAATGAACTTTAGTTCAAACCATGAAGAGTCTCTTAGAATCAGCCTCAAGGATAACAGAGGCAGAGAAAAAAGTAGACGAGCTGGAGTTGCTGATGTGGAAGATTTCAATGGCAGGTCTGAATGCCTGGTGCTTCCAGTTCCCTGTGCTGATGAATGTGTGATTGACCTTCATGGACCAGGACTGAAACGTTGCCTGGGGAACTAAGGCACAGGGATGTGTTGGCTATCTGTCAAGGCCTGCAGAACCAAGCAATATAATTAGCTTCACTTGATAAGAAAGAGGTGAAGGAATGCTCTCAAGGCAGCAGGGTGAAATTGCACAGCTCCTAAGTGCATTAACACTCTCATAAATGCCTGGAAACTGTATACCTCTGTGCTGAAGTAAGATTTTTTGGTTGTAACTTTTAAAAAAGCAGCAGAGAAAATGAGCACCTATTTTATACACTTTAACCTGAACTGAGGGTAGATTAACTATCTACTAAACTACATAGTGGTTACTTAAAAGCTTGATGCATGTGGCAGCTCTTAGCACATGGAGAAGATTTTAAGCAGCTCCCACATGGTTAACAACCATCCGAGTGCACCTTGTCTTAACCAACAAATTGGTCTCAGATGTACTTTCTCTTGATGAAGTTAGAACAATAACTCAGATGAGCATAATGCATTTAAACAAGCCATCCTCAAAGATTAGTTTGCTGAAGGAATATTTATTCATGCATGTTGAAATGCTGTTTCCTGTTGGCAGAACAGGAAATATCACTTGTAAGAGGAAACAGAAAGAGTACATTTGTGTTTTCCATGACTGAAAGATGCAGGAAGAAAGTACTGTATTGTTTCAAGTGTTTTATGAATCACATCCCCTGCATACCACATAAGTCATCCCCACTTCACTAAACAGAACTATGCAGGCTACAGTCCTATACACAGAACTCAATGGGCCTTACTTTTAAACAGATATGTCTAAATCTGTACTACTACTACTACTACTACTACTACTACTACTACTACTACTACTACTACTCCTTCCTTCCTTCCTTCCTTCCTTCCTTCCTTCCTTCCTTACTTACTTACTTACTTACTTACTTACTTACTTACTTACTTACCACTGTCTTATATGCTGTGTTATATGGAGGGATTTTGTATTGAATCTAATGTGGGACAAATTATTACATTTTTTACGGCGTTCCAAAGGCTTCATTCTTTGAGAACCCCAAAACTCATATGTGAAAAGCATTTATACATCTGTTCATTCTTCTTGTGGAAGTGCTGTGATAGAATGAAATTTTATATGATAAAGCTTCAGCTGCTTCTTTGAATTGATGCACTCTTTAAAATACAATTATATTGTATTCATTATTTAAGGTGCCAGATATCTGTTAACTTTAACTTCGGCTGGCTTATTAAGCCTTCCTCGGCATCAAGCTCCTCAGCCTCACTGCCTGACTTGATCCGGGTAGACCTTGGTGGGAGTCGGCGTCCTATCAGTGCTGAATGTCACTGAGAGGCACATTACATGCTATGCCCACCAAACATCTCCACCTCCAATTAGGTTTTAGGTATTTTACCATCCTTACAAATACATATTTTAAATTCTATAGACTGGGGAAGTAGTAGGAGATCGTGAGCAGAAAAGGAACAGTGAGGAGAATCTTTAGCATGTACAATAGAAAAAGTTCAAATAGCAAATTTTGCTGTACGGAAAGGAAACAGTTTTGGAAGTGAATGGAAACTTAAGACAAGTCTTCCTGCATTAGAGTGATCTGACCATCCATTTGTGCCACAACCAACTTATTTCTAGTGCAGAACAGCTCATAATTAAACAAATAATTAACATGTAACTAATTGAATGAGTGAATACTGTATATGTGTCACAACTTACTGTCCAACCATACCTATGCATCAATGACAATAGGTAAAGACAAAAGATATGGAGAAACAGTTTTGCAGTCCAATTTAACATGGTTAGCAGAAACAGAAATAGCTTTCAAACACGGAGTCAATACACTATTAAGTGTCTACCTACTACTGCACCTGCTCTCTCTCTCTCTCTATATATATATATAGCTGTACCTTTCCTTTGAAATATAGGATAGCATTTTTGTTAGTACAACATATGGTGTGCTAAAATATTGTAAATGCGCAGAGCTAATTATTTTGTTTTACTCTTCTTGGCAAGGTTCAAGTTGGTAAGGAAAAGACAATATGAAAAGAAAAGAGCTTGTCTTATTTAGGCTGCTTTTTCTTTAATCTAATTCTTTGTAAATACCCCATGGTGCCGGAACCCACTTCTCCTTGGGTCCTTTATGCCTAACTTTGCTTTTACTTCCAATAAATAATTCAAGTCATGGCATTTGTAAAATGGCCTGCTGGTGGGAAACAAAACCCTGGTTCCCACAATTAAGTTTAGAAAGGGCTTTAAAAAGAAAAACTTCACTGTAAAG